TTTTGATTTTCCATTGAAGAGTATTAACAAGCTTCCCTGCTTGCGCTGTAATGCCACCAGATCGATTGTGAATTTTCTTTCTAGTTTTGTAAATCATATCTTTATCAGCTTAAGTTTTTGTTCGCAAAATTGATGTATGATTCTTATTCAATATGACAAAATATATATGATTAGCATTCGTGATAGAAAAGGCTTAACTTTTCATTATCAAAAAATGGCAGAGATGGAGAAGGAGAGGGAAAGGGGGAGGGAGAGGGAGAGGGAGAGGGAGAGGGAGAGGGAGAGGAAGAGGAAGAGGAAGAGGAAGAGGAAAACGAAGAGAGAGAGATTAATATATATATTTATATATGTATATATATATATATATATATATATATATATATATATATATATATAGAGAGAGAGAGAGAGAGAGAGAGAGAGAGAGAGAGAGAGAGAGAGGGGGAGGGAGGGAGAGAGAGTTATTGTTGATATCACATAAGATAATTTTTTTCGTTGTCAACATTATTATTATTGTTGTTGTTGTTGTTGTTATTATTATTATTATTGTTGTTGTTATTATTATTATTATTATTATTATTATTATTATTATTATTATTATTATTATTATTATTATTATTATTATTATTATTATTATTATTACTACTACTACTACTACTATTATTATTATTATTACTATTACTATTATTATTATAATGTTAATAATAATGGTTTATGTTATTATTATAACAATAATGATTATTATCATTATTGTTATTATTATTATTGTTATTGTTATTATAACGATAATAACAGTAATAGTAATAATGATAATAATTATTGTTATTGTTGCTAATGTTGTTATTATTGCCATTATCATTATTATTATTATTATTATTACTATTATTGATATTATTATTATTGTTGTTGTTGTTGTTGTTGTTGTTATTGCTATTATTATTATTGATTAAATTATTACCATAATTATTAGTGTCGTTGTTGTTGTTATTGATTTTATTATTGGAATTATTATTATTATTTTTATTACTATTATTATTATTATTATTATTAGTAGTAGTATTTTTATTATTATTATTACCATCCTTATCATTATCATCATCAATGTTTTTCTTTTCATTATTATTTTTGTTATCATTATTACTGTTAGTCCTCATATTAGCAGTAGCAGTGTTACTATAATTATCACCTCTTTTAGTTTTATTATTGTGTTGATTATTACAATAATTTGTTTATTTCTCTTATCATTATCATTGTACTTATTATCAACATAATAATTATTGTTATTATTTTTGCTATTATTGTTATTATTATTGCTATTTCATGATTTATCATTATCATCATAATTCTGATTATTGTTATCTTTATTATGATTATTGTTATTATTATTATTATTATTATTATCATTATCATTACCTTTATTACATTATTACTGTAATTATTATTATTAATTGTTATTATTACCATTATCATTATTGTTATCGTTAAAATGATAATAATAATAATGATAATAGTAATGATAATAATAATAATAATAATGATTAATAATAATAATAATAATAATAATAATAATAATAATAATAATAATAATAATAATAATAATAATAAGAAGAAGAAGAAGAAGAAGAAGAAGAATGATAATAATAATAATAATAATGATAATAATAATAATAATAATGATAATAATAATAGTAATGATAATAATAATAATGATAATGATAATATTATTAGTATTAGTATTAGTATTATCATTATTATTGTTATTATTAGTAGTAGTAGTAGTATTGTTGTTTTTTATTATTATTATTGTTTTTATTATTATTACCATTTTCATTACATCATCACTATCATGATTATTCATGTTATTGCCATCAATACATCATCACTTCATTATTCATTAACATCATTGGTAAGGTTAATATTCTATATGTATTCACGATTTTATTTGTTACTGTTAACCTCATTTATTTATGGTCTTGTTTGCATGTTTATTAATTTATTCATTTATTCATCAACGCCCGGTCCAGCTAATATCACCGAAATGAATAGCTTCACAACAATAGGAAATAACAGGAAAAATATGTATAATATATACAGCCCTAAACCTAAACCCCCTAAGAGTAGGTACGAACTCATCGGGTGAAGATTAGGATTGGCAAAAAAAAAGCGAATCCAACCACAAAGAATGCCAAATCCCCCTTTCCCCCCACCACCACCACCACCCCCAATTACTCCTCCCTCTCTCTCAACCCTTACCACTACCCCCTTCTCCCCCCCCCCTACTATAACCCCTCTACCCCCCACCCCCCCCTCCCTTACCCCCTTCCGCCCTGTCCTTCTGCCCAAAGGACATATTTCGATTGGCTAATACATGCTTGGTTGTGGCGTGTCGTTGGCGTGATGCTTGTGGCGAAGTGTGGTTGTGGTTTGTGGTTTGTGGTCGGGTTGTGGTTGTAGTGCGCTGTTGTAGCGGTTGTAGTTCTGGTTCGAGTTGAAAATGCGTAGCAGGTTGTATAGTCTTTGTTGTTGTAGTGGTAGATTTTGCTGTTATTAGATTTTAGGGTTGTTGCCGCTGTTGGTGCTATTGTTAGCATACTGATTAGTCCTTATTGCTAATTTCTTGTTGCGCTGTTTATCATTATTTATTATGATCATCATAACTTTTCACCATTAGTGAAAGTGCCTTTTTTTATCAATATCAAAATCATGGTAATAAAGTTATCAACAGTATGGTTATATCTTCATTATAATGTTATAGATGCAATTTTGTTATTATTAATAGGAGCAGCAGCAGTAGTAGGAAGAGGAGGATTGACAGAAGCAGAAATATAATCATATTTACTGTTGATCTTATCATTTTGTTAATCAACATCATTATCGTTGTCGTCGTCATTATCATCATCATCATCATTATCATCATCATCTTCGTCATCATTATCATTATTATCATATTATCATCATTGTCATTATCACTATCAGTATCAGTATCATTATCATTATCATCATCATCATCACCCTCATCCTCATCCTCATCATCATCATTATCCTTATCATTATCATCATCATCATCATCATTATCATCATCATCACATCATCGTTGTCACTCTCGCTATCACTATCATCATCATCATCATCGTCGTCGTCGTCGTCGTCACTCTCACTATCACTATCATCATCATCACCATCACCATCCAATAGCTCTAATTATAATTCATTCGGGCGATGAGGGCAAGTTACTTGACGAACGAAAACAGTTACCCAGTGTGGTAGACCTTGTCAAAGATCAGTAAGCCAACTCGTTTACACGTGATATATTCTTAGCAATGGATTACGAGATAAGGGATGCGTTGATCCTGTTCTGTTAGTCTTCTTGATGATTTATGTGTAAAAAAAACGAAAAATAAAAACCGGTAAGATCGAAGGAAAATATGAGCAGATTTACTGTGATATTTATTTGTTTAGAAAAAAAAAGAATAGAGTCGATCTGAAGGTTATTCTCTAAAGAGTATAAAATAAATAATTAAGTCGTCTGAACGCCGAATTTAAACGAAACCAGGAAAAGAAAACGAGGTGTCTGGTTAAGAGAGAGACACGTTCAGGCAGTGTTGGGAGAGAGGGCCATCTGGTGAACAGTGGGACAAGTAAGGTCACGTTGAAGATTGACCTTGTTGATTTTATGGCACTGGCTGAGTCGTGTGGTTTCCCCAAAGACGTGAGATCAACCAAATGTTATAGAGGTTTGTTTATGGTGCAAGGCTTGTGTGTGTGTGTGTGTGTATGTTTGTGTGTGCGTGTGTGTGCGGAAAGATTTGTGTACTTTTGTGTATTTAGAAAGAGCGGAAAAGGGAAAATAGAAGAGGAAGGTCAGGAAGAAGCAAGGGTGAGGGTGAGAGTTAGGGAGAGGGAGAGGGAGATAGGGGGGGGTGTGAGGGGGAGGGGGAGAAAGAAGGAAACGGAGAGGAAGGAAGAGAGGGAGAGAGAGAGGGTGAAGGTGAGGGAGAGGGAGTGAGAGAGAAAGAGCCGGAAGAGGAACAGGGACTGTGAGAGAGAAGGAGAGAGAGAGGGTAGGAATGGAAAGGGAGAGGGAGAAGGAGAAGGAGAGAGGGAGAAGGAGAGAGGGAGAAGGAGAAGAAGGGAGGGAGAAGGAGAGAAGGAGAAGGAGAAGGAGAGAATGAGAAGGAGAAGGAGAGAGGGAGAAGGAGAAGGAGAAGAAGAGAGGGAGAAGGAGAAGGAGAGAAGGAGAAGGAGAAGGAGAGAGGGAGAAAGAGAAGGAGAGAGGGAGAAGGAGAAGGAGAGAGGGAGAAGGAGAAGGAGAAGAAGAGAGGGAGAAGGAGAAGGAGAGAGGAGAAGGAGAAGGAGAGAGGAAGGAGAGAGGGAGAAGAGAAGGAGAGAGGGAGAAGAAGAAGGGAGAGGGAGAAGGAAAAGGAGAGAGGGAGAAAGAGAAGGAGAGAGGGAGAAGAAGAAGGGGAGAGGGAGAAGGAAAAGGAGAGAGGGAGAAGGAGAAGGAGAGAGGGAGAAGGAGAGAGAAAGCGAGAGGGAAAGGGAAAGAGAAAGAGAAAGAGAAAGAGAAAGAGAAAGAGAAAGAGAAAGAGAAAGAGAAAGAGAGAGAGAGAGAGAGAGAGAGAGAGAGAGAGAGAGAGAGAGAGAGAGAGAGAGAGAGAGAGAGAGGGAGGGAGAAGGAGAAGAAGTAAAAGAGAATTAAGAGAGAGTGAAAATGAGCGAGCGAGCGCAAAGAGATTGCATGCGAAATCTCAAGCCGGGCAGCTCTGATGCAATCCCGCATGGTCTGAAAAGTGTGTTAGACTGCGAGTCTCCTTGTCGCTGAGTTTCCGTGTGGTGTATCAAAGGTGACTCTCGGCGGCAAGGCTGATCATGCAGGACGGCAGAGGCAACAGTTCGCTTTCGGATGCGGTTCTGAGGGCGAGCGTGAGCGTCAGTGAGGATGCATGACTGAGGAATCGATTGACTTCGCGAGGACGAGAGTTCGAGGCCTGAATGGGAGCTCGGTAGTCCTGCTGTTGCTCCGAGACGAGTGCTGGGGACGGCCTGCGTTGACGCGGGAGTAGTTCGTGTTATCGTGAATCGGGTTGTTTGCCTGGCGGAGGAGGACTGATGGGTTATCCTCAGAGGGAAAAGTAGCTGTTGTGAAGACACCGTGGCGTAGATGGCAGGACAAAGGAATTTCGCCACCACTGAAGAGCCTTGGACTGCGACGCCGCGGCGACAACTCTCTGACGACTGGCCGGCCTCGGCGGCTTACACACGCACGCACACGCGGCAGCGGCGGCGGCAGCGGCGGTAGTGGCGACACAGCGTGCGTGGTGAGCTCGGGCCACACTCACTCTCTGGCCTCCGCGCTCACACACTCACTCACACGCCGGCCGTCGCGCGTGACACTACCCACCCGCGGCCCGCCTGCCTCCCGTCCGGCGCCACGCATCCCGCGGGCACACCCACCCGCCGCTCGCACCACAGTTCCTCGATCGTGCCTTCTACTGTTCAGCTCTTGTGCTCCACCTAGTGCTGTGTCGTGCGCCACGTGTGGTATCATACCCGCTTACCGTCCACTATATCCGTCACCGTACGTGTGAATTGAAAACGAAATCTTCCAGTGTGTTAAAACTTGAATTCCGCCCAATTGTTATGAATGTGAACTCTTACTGACGTTTTAATGCATAATATTTTTTGCTAGCAACATTTAGTTCTTGAAAAATAGTCTTGATAATATAAATGATAACAGAAAAGAAAGGAAAGATAAGGACGGTTTGTTCTGCTCTCTTCCCCTTGCCTGTTGTCGCCAAGGGTAAATGAGGGAAACAGCGTGCAAGTCGGAGTGACCAATCTGTAATCGAGTGTCGTGGCCAGAACCTGTAGGCGCTTCCCTGGAGTCCCTCTGTGTTTGTCCGATATTTGAAGGCACCGCCAGGTGGTCGTGGCGAATATTAACAGGTGGTTGCGCAGTGTGTACCTGAGAACCGATGCGCGCGAACCCCACCACGCGATAGGACTATCCCAGTGTAAACTCAAGGAATAAAACAAGTGTGAGAGCATAGTAGTTCATCTCAAGGAGTCGAGTGCCACCTTAAGGATAACCGGCAACCAGGTGGTGTCAGGGGTCGCCCAGGTGAGTGGCGATACGCCTGACGAGGTGATGAGTGCTATGAAGATGCACTATTCGACCGGCACGCCCCCGTCGTTCCCGATGCCTCGCAATCTCTTCTTCTCCAACCTGGATGAGGTAAGACGCCCTTCCACACCCTCCAACTACAGCCACTACGCCCACACCTCCCCGCGACCAGCTGAG